TAAGCACTATTCATAAGCCGCCGGCTTGGCTAGGCTCTTTTTTTTTTTTTTTTTGCGTTTTTTAAGCGTAAAAAGAAGTGGACGACTTTGTTCCATCACTATCATGGCACTATTTGATTTCATTCATAAAATTTCTTTTAGCACTGATTCGACTCTCATTGTTGGTATTCGACCATGCCAAGTTGCGAACCTCTATTAATAAAGAAGAAGTTTGTGTATTTATTTAAATCTTATAGTCAAGTACCTCCACTTTAACCTACAAAAATTTGATACAAGTTTGTAATTCTTTGTCATGGTTTGATACTAGTTTGTAATTCTTGATGGCAATTCAAGAGACCGCTTTATTCTTTAATTATCCCTTTTTAACATAAATTTTTTTATCAGATCGATACACTTTGAAAAAATCTCTTTCCTTTCTAAGAAACTTGTGCAGAGGTTGAGACATATGGTTCAAATATAAACTTATTAGCAAATACAACGTACTTTGAAGTCTTTAATGAACACTAATAGAGACTTTGAGACATAAATTATTTCTTAACTTTTTATGCAAAGAAATAGTGACCACCAGCAATAGAGAGGTGTGCATGTATGGCTAAACTTAAAAGTTAATTTTCTTAAATATAGACTTTGAAAAAAAGTAACTTCTAAGTATGCATTATGAGTGTTACTTGTAATTTAAGAAAAGCAACTGTGAGCTTAGCAATTATATGCTCTTTAGAGGCACTGTGATGGTGCGCAGGTGATGTGATCTTATAGGGCCTTAGCATTATAAGGGCACAATATTTATGAAGAAAGAGGTAGAAGTAGAAAAATAATGACTCTTATTTAATATTATTGTCCTAAGGGAAAAATTCACTTTCCCTACTTTATCTTTACCATATTTCAAAAATAACAAAACAACTTTTACATTTCAAAAATCAGATTTTTTGACCTATATATACACATATTTATAAATATTTATTTATTTATTTAAATATATAAAAAGATATAAATAAATAAATAAATAAATATATATAAAATTAAC